ATTCGGAGTGCCCTTCGTGGATATCACGATTGGCCAAATAAAGTCTCCAGATTCGGAGCCCCAGCGACGCATGACGTCTTTGGGCCAAAAAAGCCTCCGAATTCGGAGTGCCCTTCGTGGATATCACGATTGGCCAAATAAAGTCTCCGGATTCAGAGCCCCATCGGCGCAAGACGTCTTTGGGCCGAAAAAGCCTCCGGATTCGGAGTGCCCTTCGTGGATATCACGATTGGCCAAATAAAGTGTCTGAATTCAGAGCCCTATTGGCGCAACACATCTTTGGGCCGATTAAGCCTTCGTGTGTAACATAATTATGCCGATTAAATACTTAATGTAAATGCTTATACCGAACCGCCGAAATTACTAGTTATCTCGGGCCGGTCAATGTTTATACAATAAAACATGCAAACACGTGTGTGCCGAATAAAAATTACATCGAAACAAACAGTTGAAATAGACAATGTACAATGTACTGTTATCCAAATTAAAGCCTCCATAAACAAAGGCCAAAAAATGCATATATTCAAATAAGATGTTCAAGCCACATAAATGTAATCTAAAACGTGCGCACATTCGGAATAAAATGTGTACTAATATAAATAACAAGTACGCTACAAATTGAGAACTAAGCATTTTATTAAAATTAAGCCAATAAATACATAATTTCACTTTCGATCTACGTAATCATTTCAAGGTTTTCTTCGGTTAGACAACTTCTTCATCATCACTCTTCTCAATTTCGAAAGCGGAGAAGGGGAAATCATTCTATTGGTACAACGGACACGCTGGATCCAACCCTGCTGCCTAGTAACTCTCAACTTGCTGAAGTGCCTTGATCCAACCGTGCCTAAATCCACGATTTTCACATCGGCAAACTTCTTCAACGAGTTTCTCCTTGGTTTTCTGAATTCCGATCTTTCGGCCGTCATGAAAGCCTTTTTCATAGGCTGCAGCCCTCACAGTCTCGATCACGAACATGATAGCCGTGTTTTGATCGGTGATTGCATCACTAATCAGCCGTTGAGTAACCCTCTCTTCCACAACTGGGTTTGGGTGGCTGGCCAATTGAGGCTCGGTGGACTTTATTTTCTTGAGCTCACGCTCGGCCTTCTTGGCGCGAGCTTCTAACTTCCAAATGCGTCATCTCTCTGTTCTATATCGCGGCGAGCGGCGCGGAGACGCATGCCGATCTCGTAAGCCGTGTACAGTCCCCTCACCGCCCGTGAACGCCTTCATGAAACACTTCGAAGTCCTGCCGACCTACCATCAATTGCTGAACTTCGGGTGGAAAAATCTGTCAAGCAAACTCGACTGCCACATTTGGATCTCGAATGATCGAATCCGCCTCTGTCATTGGTCTATTACCCACGAAGACCGCAAAACTCAATGGGCGAGGAGTCGCATCGGATTCCCTTCCAGGACAGGGTTGGGGAGACTTACGCTGTGGCTGTTTGCCCCTCCTGGGCGACCTGCTTCGACGACGAGGAGATTAGTGTCTCTCCCGATCCCTCGAAGTCCTACTGCCCATGCGTGAAGGTTCACCGCTTCAATTCATGACTCCACCTAGCTCAGCTAGCGTCTTCGCTTCGCCTCTACTATTAAAGAAAAGTCTATTTGACATTCATACTTGTTTAATCTTCCTCAAAGAGCTGGACTAAGTTGCTGACTGAGCACATAAATAGGACCCCTGTTCATGAAGTACACGCCCATTTATTCCCTATGAGGGCAGCACCTCCGAGGCAATCTCACTAATATTGAAGCGTCAATAGCCCAGCGTCGACTGAGTCATATGCCCCAATCGCCCCATCAACCATTGATATTCGGCGTTCTATGATCACAAACCAGCTGGGGCAAGGGCAGATTCATCAATCTAGACGGCTTGAGTGCCCCAGCCGTTCCACGAATCGATTCATCAGTATAAGATTCATAAGTAACGTGTTATTCGGCATTCTACGATCATGAACCAGCTAGGGCAAGGGCAGATTCATCAATCTAGTCGGCTTGAGTGCCCCAGCCGTTCCACGAATCGATTCATCAGTACAAGATTCATAAGTAACATGTTATTCGGCGTTCTACGATCATGAAACAGCTGGGGCAAGGGCAGATTCATCAATCTAGTCGGCTTGAGTGCCCCAGTCGTTCCATGAATCGATTCATCAGTACAAGATTCATAAGTAACGTGTTATTTGGCGTTCTATGATCATGAACCAGCTGGGGCAAGGGCAGATTCATCAATCTAGTTGGCTTGAGTGCTCCAGGCGTTCCATGAATCGATTCATCAGTACAAGATTCATAAGTAACGTGTTATTCAATGTTCTACAATCATGGACTAGCTGGGCAAGGGCAGATTCATCAATCTAGTCGGCTTGAGTGCCCTAGTCGTTCCACGAATCGATTTATGAGTACAATATTCATGAATTCATTTTGTTTATGATTAAATCAGATCCCTAAATTTAATCGGCTTTTAAGTCTACCGTCTCACGTAATCTCAACATTTTGTTCTAACTGCTGGTTCTCCTAATTATGTGCTCATACAGCAAACAATACGAGAAATAACTTGAGAGCATATAAAATTTTCATTCATAAATTGGGCGCTAGCAGCGGACATTTTACATATGAAAATCCAAAAAATATGACGGTCAACTAACAAAAAACATACATTGAAATTGAGAAAAGCCTAACAAAACTAGAATGTCACCCAAATCAAGTCTCAGGATCAGACTTAAGCGGCTCAACGCCCACTTGCTCGTATGGAATTGGCATGGCCAGTAACTCCAACGGCAGCAAGGGCTTTGAGCCAGCCGTGTCTGAATCCCCGATTCTCAAATTTGGGGACTTCTTTTACGTAGTCATTAAAGGCAGCGCTCTTCCCAGCCTCGAACGCCACGGAAGCCTCAGAGTCGGCTTTTTCCTTGGCCTACTTCAACTCTTCAAACTCAGCCTCCAGTTTCACAAGCGCCTCCTTGGCTAACTTGAGCGATTCCTCGCTCACATTTGCCCTCTCCTCGACGTCAGATCTGAGTTGATCAACAATCCTGGCCCTTTCCTTCTCAGCCTCGGCCCGTGCACTTTCCATTGTGTCTCTCATTGCCTCAAACTCTGCCCTACTCCTTTGACCATCAACTTCCCATTGCAAGCGACCAATCCTTTCAACGTCTTCATGCTGGCGGTGCCCTAATTCGGCGATCCTTCCAACCGTCTGCAAAACAAAGGGTTGTCACATTCCAAAAAACATCGAATACAAACCAAACCAACAAAGGAGTTAGTCACATACCAAAAGGGCTGGCTATGTGGCTAATGCTACCGTTACCAAATCCGGCTCGGCACGAAAGGTCGCCTTGTCAGCCGGCAGGGAGACCGAGGTAGCTAAACTCAGAGCCACAGCTAGATCTTTCAAAGCCGACGCTTCAGAGGAGATCGGCATGTTTTTTATCTTTGGCTCAATAACAAAAGGAGCAACCACAGCCGACTCCTCCAAGCGTGGCCGTTTATCACCGACTCCTCGACATCTTTTTCCGTCTCGGCCATGACAATGTGAGCCGTTTCTTCTATGACAGTAGGTTGAACAGATTCAGTCGGAACAAGTCCGGAACGAATGGCCTCAGCCTTTTGTCGGGCGGCCATGCGTTCGGCGTTTCTCTTGCTCGCCATCGGCGTCAGATTTTCCCCAGCCATATCCTCAGAGCAATCGCCGGGAAGGCCTCCCAAGTTTGTAAAAATATCTTCGAAGGCGTCCCCTCGGCCTGATGTAGATGGAGGGTCAGAAGAGTTCAATCTAGCTTTCTCGAAGGCCGAATTAATAGCTTCGTCAACTTCCGCAGCCAACCGGTCTGGGTACTCGGCGATTGGTTCGGCCACTTGTTCTTCCACGTGTTCAGAATCAGATAATTCTAAGCCGATCTGCCTCAAGTTTTTGAAGCTGGGGAAGATGAGGGCCATAAGATGGTCGTCGCCTTGCCCGATCGGAATATTGTCTGCTGCCGAGAACGTCGTGTAAGTTGGCTCGTACCGCAAGAGAATGTGGGCTATCCTCCCTTGTTTTTGAAGGTCTGGACGGCCAACGAACTGTAGTGCGGTCTTAATTTCTGCGAGCACAGTGTCGTCGTCTGAAACCAACACTCTCTTCAAATCACTGCCTGCATAAACAAAACGATTAGATGAGTACAGTGCCGAATAAATATATATGGAAATAACGGAAACAAGTAATCCAATCGGCCACCTGGTTCTCCTTTTTTCCTCGTCACCGGGTTTAGGCGATCTTCACCTTCGCCGAACTCCCAATTGCCGTGGACAACGACCATCACGTCGTCGACACGTTTGCCAGAGCGAGCGAGCATAGTCACTAAGTGATGATCAGTATCCTTGGCTCTAAGAAAGTAGCACCCTAGCCAGCCAGTAGATTTGGCTAGGATGTAACAGTGCTGAATGGTGGGAATACCTAAATTGATCGTAAGACGGCGGTTTAGTTCTATGATCCCCATTATGATGTAAAAGAAATTCACGTTGGACTGGGAAGGGATTAGACCCCAGTATCTAAGAACGGCCCTCAAAAGTAGGTGAAGAGGAAAGCGGACTCCGCCCTCAGCAATTGATAGGAGAGGAAAGATGATTGTGCTCTCATCTTCCCTCTGCATATCAGTGGTGCTATCTGCCAAAAGTGACAGATGGACATCATTAGGGATGGAGAAATGGCATCGAAAGCCAGAGATTCGATCCGCCGAAAGGAGCTTTTTCAGATGTTTTGCCATTTTTTGGCCAAACCCAAGGATTACGGAAAGTTAAAAGCAAGTAAGGAAGCGGGATCAAAAATGATGGAGGAGAAGACTTATAGGAGACGAAGGAAGAAGCGAGAAACAAGGAGTTGTAGAAGCTGCGAAGAGACAGGGTTGCACTAGAGGGTGAGTAAGATATCTTTTGAATATTCAGGACATACACTCAAAGCGACAATTTCAAATCATATTAAATGGAAGCAGTGTACGAAGGGGTGGGAAGGCGTTACAATGACTAAGAAGCGTGTACACGTTTTGACACGCAATGGAAAGAGGGTTAACCGCCGAATTTTTGACTTCCCAGGCTAGACGCCAAACACGCCGACTAACTGATGCTAGTAGGGTGTTTGGGGGGCAATTGTGGGACCTGAATTTCATTAGATCCATGGGGACGGATAAGCATGTCCGGTTCGAAACGTAACCTCTATTCGGCACATACCTCAATCAATCAAGGAGCCGAATAGAATAACCAGTACCTCAACCAGTAGAACAGATGCCGAGTAGAGGTACATGTAAAGGAACAAGGATGGGCCCAGCCCAAAGGCCCAAAGAGAATACTATAAATACAAGATCTTCAGTTCTAGAAAGGTATGTGAGAATTATTAAGCTTAACTTAGAATACAAGTAATCTTGAGTGCAGAGACTAACTTGCCCATCGG